CAACTTCTGGCTGGTAGCGAAGGACTAGCTACCTTGGCTTCTATGAACGTTTCCCTTATCAATCTTCTACCTGAATCAACCTGAATTTTTCCTATTTTCATTGTGCTGGATTTTGGAGCCATCTGACATGATTCTTGCAGTAGCAACTCACTGATCAATCTTCCTGCCTCCCACAATACCAGGATCATCCTACCTGGCCTGTCCCCCTTTTTCAAACGTACTCGGTTCAACCCTTGTAATGTGGTCTCTCTTATTTGATATATGAAGAACGAAATCCCCCTATTGACCTCGTAACCGGATAAATATTTTTATTTTGCCATTGATTTATCCAGTTTGAGTCACAGTGATGACAATTTGGTAGTGCCACCGTTTACTTGTTATTGGAGCATGGAAGCACCCAGCTATCGCACTCTGTTGCCATCAGACTCAACTTACTTGTTAGCTCCTACATGTTACTCTAGTTCTCTATTACCATGCGAAAGCGATCTCCTTGGCTACCATGCGCTCGATGATAGCTGCTCAGGTAATGGAGAGAAACTTCTCATACTCTTCAAAGACAATCGTTTGTTGAAATTGAAAACCCCATTACTTAATCAAAATTCTGTGTAAGCGAATATATGTTTTCAATAATTCCTCATCAGACTTTTACAATTACATGAAAATCAAAATCTTGTATACAGACCCAACGGGTCGTCACTCGGTCGAATTGATTCTAGTGCGCTATGACGAACCGTCGATCAGGTTCCAGTTGTAGTTGCAAGCTCGCACATGTCAACTGCAATCCGTCCTGGTCAAGGTAGACTCAACGCATAAGTGAACCTTTTCTGCATGCACAGCGCTGGTTCGTACAACCCAATGCTAATGGCTTATGCGGCGTCTAATATCCGCTTACGGAAATACTTGGATCGCTTTTCTGGGGCCTGATAGATTACTTTGAACGAAGCAGCTGACTTGGTGGCGTGTCCTGTATCCGCAAGATGCGCGGTGATGGCAGAGTTGGTGGCCTTCTGGCCTCCATTTCCGAGTCAGGCCGGATGGTGTTCCATTACCCTTTCGGATAAGCGCCTTGTCGTACGACCAACGTAACCTGCACCACAGAAACCAGTGAAGGAGTAAACACACATTCATCTGGTGTGGACAGACAGATTATTCATGAAGTTTAGTCTCACCATTGGGCTGCTGTTGAGCCAGATTCGCAGCCTGGCCGCTGGGAAGATATTCCTGAGTGTGTACGACAGACGGCGGGATAGATTCTCTGATACTATTTCCCCATTTTAAGGTAGTTGCAGGAAAAGAGGTTTCCGTTCCGCCGTCAGGGATTAGGTTCCTCTGTTTCACTCCATACTGGCATTAATAAAATTCTCTGGGTAACCATTCTCGTTAAGCGTCGATCGTATGCGCTGTAACTCTTCGAAAAGTTTATCCCTCGAGCAGATTATTTCGGCCCGGTTCACGAGACTGATGTCAGTGTCACGAACCAAACTATGTACTCTCTCGACATCACCTCACTGTTCACGAATGTGCCTTTATTTGAAACAGTTGCGTTCATTTTCGACTTTGTTGATATTGGCATATGAACTTTGACCCTGTAAGGATTCCTGCTCAGGTGTACATGTAATGTTCACTTCCTAATGAACGGGGATATATATCGGCAGCGCGATGGAGTTGCTATGGGCTCCCCGCTTGGACCATTCATCGCTGATGTTTTCATGGGCATGTTGGAACATGGTACATTGAAAGCGGTCATCAGTAGCCTTACCTTTTATCACCGTTACGTAGATGACATCTTCGTCCTACTTGACGCCTCCAGTAACATCGAGGAGCTCACCAGCGTATTTAACCAGGCTCACAATGCTATATATAGTTCACCTACGAAGTAGAACAAAACGGCACTTTTTATTTTCTCGATGTAGTTCCAAAAGGACTTGATGATGGTGCAGTAAAACGCCGCGTTTACCGAAAGTGCACCTGGAGTGGACGGTACACAAACCTTCCTAGCTTTGTGCCGCTTCGGATTGAGAGAAATTTAGTCCTTAATCTCGTGAACCGGGCCGAAATAATCTGCTCGAGGGATAAACTTTTCGAAGAGTTACAGCGCATACGATCGACGCTTAATGAGAATGGTTACCCAGAGAATTTTATTAATGCCAGTATGGAGTGAAACAGAGGAACCTAATCCCTGACGGCGGAACGGAAACCTCTTTTCCTGCAACTACCTTAAAATGGGGAAATAGTATCAGAGAATCTATCCCGCCGTCTGTCGTACACACTCAGGAATATCTTCCCAGCGGCCAGGCTGCGAATCTGGCTCAACAGCAGCCCAATGGTGAGACTAAACCTCATGAATAATCTGTCTGTCCACACCAAATGAATGTGTGTTTACTCCTTCACCAGTTTCTGTGGTGCAGGTTACGTTGGTCGTACGACAAGGCGCTTAGCCGAAAGGGTAATGGAACACCATCCGGCCTGACTCGGAAATGGAGGCCAGAACGCCACCAACTCTGCCATCGCCGCGCATCTTGCGGATACGTGTTGTACCAACGATACTAAGCCTAAACTAAGTACGTCGTACGAAAACTTAACTGGAAACTACGAACAAATAAACCTAGACTTAACGCACGGTCTGGGCAGAAGAATAAAACGAATTATCCTATAACCGTGGTTCTATAAGGCATATTAAATACAGTACATGACTTACGAATAGGTTTTGCATTCGTAATACAAGTGGGCAGAAACTGTACAGCGTGGGGCGGAGCGAGTATTTGGGCAATGTCGCAGTAACACAATAATATGCATGACCTTGAAACATCAAGGATATGTTAGTGATCGAGTGAAAGGAATAAATATACGATATGTTACCCGCTTGTAGGACACAGTAAAGCAGTGTAAATGAGCAAGATAATTAGGGAATACGGATACCGTGTCCTCACATAAGCAATCCAGGTTGAGGATACATCAAAGTTCCTTTTGGACTTTGCACGGGTCATGCCACCAAGTCGGCTGCTTCGTTCAAAGTAATCTATCAGGCCCCAGAAAAGCGATCCAAGTATTTCCGTAAGCGGATATCAGACGCCGCATAAGCCATTAGCATTGGGTTGTACGAACCAGCGCTGTGCATGCAGAAAAGGTTCACTTATGCGTTGAGTCTACCTTGACCAGGACGGATTGCAGTTGACATGTGCGAGCTTGCAACTACAACTGGAACGTGACCGACGATTTGTCAAGCGCAGTAGAGTCGTTTGTTTCTCTCGAGCGTCTCAATCCTAGTCTCGAAATGGTTATATCCTAATCATTTGCAGATGGCAGGGTAGTGTAAAGGATTACAGATCCATTTGGTTCTCAAGTATTGACTCAGTCCACGCTCTTGTTTGTGCGAACATCTGCATGACTTTCCGAACGTCACTGGAAACGACGAAGCATTGTTGGGTAGGTTCGAATACGCTATCTATTCTCTCGGCTCAGCTGTGCCTTCCATCTTCCCTGGTCGATGCACACAACTGTGCCCCACCGCAAGACATTGATGAACACTGCACATTCACCCAGAGTATCATGATCTCTTCCGGCCTGCTAGTCTGTGGTCTTACTCTGCACTCTATGAAGGCATGGATCTCGACACGCACCCCGGATCTATTTGACTGTCGCAGTACTATCCCAGCGGAGCCTAATCATAATGAAATGCGCCTGTCTGTCAGTTGGTAGCTAAATTAAAGCCTACTTAGCGATCGTGAAACCTGGTGACCGACCGACTGACAAAACTTGAGTATGCGGACGACATAAACTCTCTTTGTGTGTGACAGTCGCTGTACAAACAATACTGGATAGACTGATGCGTAGCGCTACGTGCTTTGACGAGGGCTTTGCACCTTCAAAGTGCAAATTGCTGTTGCTTGACTATCACCGAAGAGCCATGGGAAGTGGTGGATCGGTTCACAGGTTAGCTGTGTCACCTCTGGTAGTAACATCACTGAAGTGGTTACCTCACGTATCAGCAACGCCCGTGTGGCTTTCCAGAAGTTGTACCATCTATGGAGACGGCGGTATATCAATTTGGCAGTTAAAAGTAGCGTGTATAACGCTGCGGTAAGGCAGGTCTTACTGTATGGATCAGTGACTTGGCCACTTCGCCGCGAAGACATTACGCACTTGACTGTGTTTGACCACCGGTACTTGCGGGTTTTGCTCACGTTTGGTGGGAACACCGACTGAGCAGTGCTGAGGTCTGCCAGTTGGTTTTTGGCCAGAAGCCTCCTGGTGCATCACTCAAGTGTTTGTCGAATCTTAATTGCTTTCCTTGGCTAGGTCATATCCTCCGTATGCCCGATGACCGACTTCCTCGGCGTGCATTCTGAGCCCTGGTTGCACCAAGTTGGGCAAAACCGCGAGATGACCAATGCATGACGTGGCTTAGAAGCGTGACAAAATTGACCTAGAGACCTGGTGAGGCTGGTGCGTGCCGTGTTTGTGGATGGGGACATCTTTATGTTCCTCACAAATGGCTGGAGACCAGACCGGTCATGGCGCTGTCACGCAGTCAGTGTCCTTCATGCATTCGGTTTATTTTCTCTGTTTGGTAATTTTCGTTTCGTTTTATTTAGTTTAACTCATCTACTTGTTTCCATCTTTACATTCTATTTTCATTCAACTGAAGTGAACTTACTCTGAGTGGGACACAAGCATGCCACTACCAGCGCGTTCTTCAATTCATGCCAGTGGGGTTTAGGAGGTGTGTGGCGTTGTAAGTTCACTAATATTTTAGCTCACATCTAGTTGGGCTCAGTGCATGGAATACTAGTGATATGATGTTTTACGAACTAGTGTTCCTAATGTGTAGAAATGCGTTATCTGTTATCATCCGTTTGGTTTAGCATGTCCCTTCCTTTAAAGAAGATGCGGTTTTACTTCTTCAGTACCCATATTCTTTATCATTAGAGAATTTGTTTCCTGTTTTCTTATTTTGTAATAACCTCCGGTGTACTTGTATCAGGTTATTTGTCTTTCAGTACAAAGCCAGTGATATGGTGATCAAGGAGCCTGGGACGTTAGAATTGGTATTCACTCCGCAGGATGGTACCAGAGAACCAGAGCGCATCAAGGTTTTCCAGTTTACCGGAGGTGGTGTTGGCTTGTCCATGTACAACACTGATGAGGTAATTCTACCAGACTTACGAAAGCGGTATGAAAGCTGGTTTATGCTTACTCTCCTTGTAATATACTTCTCTACCAGGTGATAGTACTGGCTGGTAATCCGACTGACTATCTAAATCAATTGAAAACGCCAATGTTAGCTCCTTGTGAATTTTGTCACTGTGAATCGCATTCGATCATCGGTAGTGTCCGATTTTCTCGTAACACTTGTTTATTCGCCGCAGATTCCCGGATTGATTCACATCCATTCTATAGCTTCTTTCGCTCTCACTCCTAGTTTCTGCACAACGTTCTTTTCCCCTCCTTTGAGTCATCGATTTCTTGGCTTATTACGATATCTCCGAGGAACTGCAGTCGAATTGTGTTATAATAAACTGCACAATGATGTCTGGAAATGTAGCCGTTTTCCAAGAGACTGAAACTTGTTTCTTTTGATAGCTCCTTTATTATTTGATAGGCCACGGACCACAAGTGGGCGGCTAGTCGTTATTCAAGAGTATGTGCTCTTCAACAAGTTAAGCGGCTTCCTCTACTGGGGCTGATGTTATCCGGACTTGTTGGGCCCTTTGTGCCATGCATAACTGTGGATCCTATGGACAAGGTTCATGAAATGTCCATGAACGTAACCCCTGACGTCAATCACACTGGTTTCTTGTACTGTTTCGGATCAACCAAGCTCCCCATTCAGCCTATATATCTGAGTAGCTGGTCTGTGTCTCCACTGATTTTATGCTGTTTTGCCAATGAACCCTGTATTTCACATGCCCTTAGGCTTGATGCTGTTTTGAATGTTCCCGGCTTTCTTTTACCATAGTTGATTATGACTCAGTTTAACTCTTGTTCATGCATGGCAGTTACGGTTACCTTCGGGTTCGGATTGCTCACACCTCTGTTTCTCTGGACTTGGATTCACCCTACTCTTTGTGGTATTAAAATGCCTTCATCTGTAGCATAGTCAGCTACAGCGAACAACATGTTACACGATTATTCCGTCCAGTGGTGCTGTTCAATGTTTGCTCTCTTGCTGACCACACGTTGCTCTTAAAAAGGGCTTAATCTGGCTGCCGTTATCGGTGGCCCCATGCTTTAACTCACTGTTCTGTGTAGTTATGTAACTCCCGTTTGTATGCGATCAGGGAGCATACCTTGTCCGCCACACACACACACTCAGCTTAGCGCGATAGGTTTACTAGAATCGCTCACTGCGGCCTCATCAGTACCCGAATTGCCCAAAGTGCGGTTACTGTTGGCTCTCCATCTTGCTCACCGAATCCTGTATGAGTGCTTTAACAGGGACTCCCGTTACAGTTGAATACTCTGCACTCTGCTACAACTTGGAGAAGTCACGTGAAAAATCTGCCGAAACAGTTGGCCTCGGTCTGTTGTTTTCGACTCCCTGGTTTGGATTTCAGATGCAGTGTGTCGCTGGTTAGAGACCCTGGAAGCCATGGCTGAAGACCGATGTCAATGACGGACGTGTATCCCTGCCTGTTGCGGTGATTTTCCTTCTCCAATAAAACATTTAAAAGAAACACCAAAACGGAGTGAAAAACTAAACAAAAACGCGCACGTTCTTTTTTTCCTATTCCTACGCTGTTTTCTTATTGCTCCATGATTCCGATAGCACAATACCTGTACCACGGATTGTGCTTCTCTCTCTCTCTCTCTCTCTCTCTCTCTCTCTATATATATATATATATATATATATATATATATATATATATATATATATATATATATACCCATTAACGTTGTAGTGTATGTTTGGAATGTCATTGCCGCCTTTGTCGACAACAACAGCAACAACAACAACAGTACATCAACCATTTGAACTGATCCTTCGCTGCCATACAACCATGCTGGCCTATGAAATAAAGAATACTAAGAGGGAAAGAAGGAGGAGTTATCGGAAAACCTTAATGCCCTAAGCAAACACTCAGGGTCAAGGCGCCTACACCTTGTGCAGACAACATGCCGTCACAAACAGCTGGCTATCGTGCAAAGATAAGGCGGCTTCGGCGAGACAACTTCCTTGCGGCTTTCACTGCCTCGCGTCATAATCAGCTATTACCCCGCAGATAACTCAGTACCAAAAGCACTGTAAACAGGCAATCCGACCAGGAGAAGGCAGCAGACTTACCACTGGTGTCGGTTGCGAGCCATGTCTTGTAAATTCTCGAGCCAAGCACAAGGCGCGTCACGTGGACTCCAGTCCGGAAGGCGAGACGGACCAACAGCACCCAGTTTGATCGTTCGTATTTTCATTTCCCGTTGTCAACTCAACTTCTGTCCACCTCGAGTCTTTCTCCACCCTATACCTGGCAGACTAAACAAGGTCCCCTAGGTAAGCGGTGATCAGGCATACACAGCTCTTACCCAAGTCAACGCAACTTATTCAGTGCTATCTGTTATTCTAGTAAGATATCATGATTATCACTACCTAGTACTCGACTACGCACGCTGGCGCCATCCGACTCCAGCAACGCTTCGCAGACAACGATGCCCAAAGACTTGAAGGCGCCTTTGATCTTCAGAACGTAGAGGCCAAGTCTCACTCCTTCAGAGTAGAACGGCCCTCACTGTGGCCTTGTATACACGGTCTTTCAGACGGAGGGAAACTCCCTTCGGCCGCCAAAGATGTCGCAGGTTCAAGAAGACAGTTCTGGCCTTTACAATGCGTGAGCTGACGTCAGTTTCTATGCGCCCATCGTTGCTGATGCAGCTACCGCCTTTGTGGCCGATTCTGTGCTTGGTTCAGCTCTTCAGTTTGAAGTCTCTGAAATAAGGAATTTGGAAACTACATGAGTACCGTCTGGCAACTTAGTTCCCCGAGGACCCGTGAACAGCTGTTTCTGTAGTGTTTAGGAATCCTTTTTCGGAATTTGACTAACCAATTGCGTTCCTTGAATTGCCGCACGTTATCTCAAAATGAAATATACGTTTCTTAAATGTTATTACCTTTCTTTGACTTCAACTTTGCTATTCTGCTTCTACTAATCTTTTCCTAACCACCGTTTTAGCGGAGTAGCTGTTGTGTTGACAGCAGAAACCACTGGAATTAGAGCCGATGTTGCAAGATGCGACAACACTCATAGTGGTTTTGTGGCCCATCTTGAAATCACAACTATTCGCATCATCATTATTATTTTACGCTTTAGCTAGAGCTACTAAATACTTCAGCTAATGTGGCGCAGCACAATTCAAAAAAGAAAAAGGATTCAATGTGATATTATTGCGCTTGGAGGAAGAATCTGAACGCGATGAGGGGGTACAAAGAAAATCACAACAGAAGCGCCATGGAGATCGGCTATGTCAGCAAGTATCTTCAGCTAAACAAATTCTTTGTTTCAGCCTGCCACTCGGGTGTCGGAAAGCACCAACCAGAAGCAAGTTCGCAGCGAGAGTTCTCATTCATTTCAGTCTGCTAGCCTATCCTTCCATCTACTCAACGATCGCATTTCGCGGGACTCGATACACTGGTATGAGTAAAACATGACCCAGCCGTAAAATAACGATGCTGGGACGTTCATTTTATATTCCTACACCATAAACATGACAGCAGATACGCCTATTTTTCATAAGGTGTTTTCACCAGATATGAGCTAAACTGCGATGCGACTCAACAAAAGTTTGGGATTACAACATGCAGAACATCTCACCCGTTATCTCTCCCTGTTTTTTGCCTTCATTCTTCTGGGTTACCGCCATCGTAATTGGACAGTACTGTTCACTATCCGGTTTGTTAAATTATTTGGTTCTTCTCGCTACCTATCCGTTGCCGTCCTTCGATTTTATCGTGTCACTTGTTTCGTGGAATTTACTGTGTATGCGACAGCATTGTTGTTCGCTATGTTCCTCTTGCGTGTTCACCGATGTACTACCAACTTTGATTCGATGACGGTGCCGTTCGTCGTCTCAACGCAGCACCACTTGTAGCCATACTGCCATATATTTTTCCCTCAGAGCATCCGCGGATTCGCCTACAGCTGTTTTGAGTATGCACTAAACAAAAAATGGCCTCTGTACTTGAGCACGAAGAACACCATACTAAAAAAGTACGACGGTCGATTCAAGGATATTTTTCAAGAAATATATGAAAAGTGAGCTTCCACTAACTACCGTGATACCCTTTTTTCATTTGGTGTTGTGCATTTTCCATTGAGATCCATCTTGTTCATCATGCCTACTTCATCGTTACTTTAATCGGTCTAGTTTCTTAAATGGTCAGCCAATCTCTTCTCACTGGTCACACAAATGATGTCACCCCTTCGTAAACTGAACACACTTCCATGTCGGTATTCCAACTTCACTTAAGCAACATCGCCTTCCACATACTCAGCTATCTGTTGATGGCGAATTTTCATAGCAGCCGAAATTGCCTGATCATCGCTGTATTCATTTTTTGCTTCTACGCAACTGTGTGTTATTGTCCAGACATATTGTTTCCTTGGGCGGTAGCTATTCACGTGCATTACTTGTTTTTCTTACTAAATTGCGGCTTGAATACGCCGAATTAAATGTGTGTTGCTAACACTCGCCGTGGTATCTGTCGGTGAAATTTACCCTGTAAGTTACTTTCTGACTTGATTCACAGGCGCGTCTGCATCAATATTCTGGCAAGGTTGCTTACTTTGTTCATTTGCCAGTCAAGTATATCATGCTGATTACGACGCTACTACTTCGCTATGGTAACATGGATCGGACAGTCTGCATCCGTACTTGATTTGTTCCGCTTTGAACCGCAAAGTTGCGGTTCCTCTCCGAAGTTACTGGGACCGTGGTCATTCACCTGTCCATACATCGCTTCTTCACCCCAGAAGTATTGAACAAGCTATAGGGCTTGAATCAGAGTTTGGGATGTCAGGTTGTCCCAACCATTGTTGTTTTACCCGATGCGAGCAATACTTTTTAGCTCAGTTTCGCTTGATTAGCTGAGCCTCGTTCACCAAGTGCGGTCATTTCAGCAACCTTTGTAAAATGAACAGCAGCCACTGGACACAAAGTGGAGCAATCAACCTAACAATTTAATCAATGGAGCTGGACAACTCTGCGATGCAGTTATCGACAGAAAAGTTTACCATTGTGGTAGAAAACACAGTTTTCTCAGCACACACACACAGTGCGAAATAAGTGAATCGATTTCAGCATTCCGTGCGGCGGCGGTAGCTTGCGGTGGCATGTCTCCATCGTGCCCCTCTCATTCCGCTTATGCAGCAGAGTGTGTGTTACATTCCACATGTTATTTGCTTCACCAGAAGAACGTATTCGCTCACCCAATGCACTCCACATTTTGCCATCTGTCTCAACTCTACCACAACAACAGTCGGTACCTTCCAGCTTAATGATATCCGTTCGCTTTGTTCGCTACACTCGCGCTTTGCCTTCTACCACACTTTGTTGACATACATCCCCATGCTTTCGACAGGGACTATAAACGACAATACGAAGAGAACAAAATTTGGTACGAGCACCGCCTCATCGATGATATGGTCGCTCAGGCAATGAAATCATCCGGCGGATTTGTGTGGGCATGCAAGAATTACGATGGAGATGTGCAAAGCGACGTTATTGCTCAAGGTAGATCAGTACTTTGTATCAAACTACACTGTTCACCTGGCTTCATATTGTACGTGTTCCATTTTGCTTCACTTGTTACCGTTCTCCTATGTAGATTCTATATTAAGTTGTAATATATATTCCAACCGTTTTTTTACATTTTATTTGCTTTCACCCCATAATTTTGAGTTTTGTTAAAGTGGTTGTAATCATTGGAATCAGCGTTCTTTCTTCCACAGACCTGTTGCCACACTTTTTCTTAATAACTCAATTGTACTTAGCCTTAAGGTATTTGAGATGGAAATACCGGGCAGCAGAAACAGCCATTCTCCACCCTATTTTTATTTCACGTTTCACCGAAATCAAAAAGTAGCCTAAGCAGCTCGAGGTATTTATGCGGTTTATGAAAAGCTTGCTATGGCGGCCTTCATGTCGAGACATCATTTCCCGTGCTAAACCTTTAAAAGAATCACACTTTGCGGCTGCTTGCTGTCTGGTGTCGGGTGAGACGTTGCACAGCAATTTGGAGGCGATTTTCTTTGTTGTTTCAAGCCAACTCGTGTGACACCTTAACTCTACGTTTTTGGGTAAAATCAATTGGTAAAATCTGATGGGATACCGCCAATTCTCTGCATCTTTGGCGACTATCCTCCTTCAAATCGTTTTTCTCGAACTCTGTAGGCCACCCAGAGCGAGAGTTGGCATCCAGGTCGGTGTTGACATTTTTAAGCTCGGCAAACGCAACTCAAACAATCCACACAGCTATAGCACATCACAAACTGCACTGACATCTCTAGCTGCTTCACTTACTTAGAGTACGGTGGAACTCGAAATTAGGCAAGTTGATATTTCCATTCCTAATACCTTAGTTAGGTAAAATTAACTTATTCGGAAATATAGTGGCAATCAGTTTGTAGATTAAGGAACGCTTTTTCGAACGACTATATCCACGTTTCCAGACTACAAGAATGTAGGCTGCAACCAAACATGATATAAAGGACGGCGGGAATATATGTTACAGCCTAATATATTAATATTAATGATGTATATTCTCGGGCCCACCGGGTATGCTGTTTTCGATATGATCAACTTTTTATTACAATTGTTTCACAGCATATCCACAAGATATCCTAATGTTAGGCTAAAATGGCTATCACCTTTTTATCAGGATGGTTCTCCAGTTCCACGCTCCAAAGACGTACATAACGCATCGTAGCATCTTGGTGAAGAGCCCAATATACTGACAGAATCAAGCTTCTTTTCTTTGGGCTGAGAGATGACGATCAGTAGCTTGGTAATAAGCAAAACGTTAAAACTCCAGTTCACAAATGTATGATATATCATCCGATTTATTCAAAAAATTCTATGCATTGTGATGTTCTAATAAGGGGTAGCGAAAGACGAAGATACCTACCTATTTTCGCTCAGCTGCTATACATGAAGGTTGAGAAATCCTTAAGGGAGATTGGTTAGTTTGCTTGTGAGACGAACGTGGTTGGCATTAATCAACCGGCTCAGGCGTTTCGGTTCACTTGTACGCAGTGTGTATGTGAATAGGAGGAGAACTAGGCAATAAGTGTGGAAAATGGGGATGAATATGTGGAAAGCCGGATCGGTTAATTTCTCCTTGCCACAAGGGAAGCGTGGCTGAGTAAAGGAAAAGCAGGATGGATGACTATGAATGAATTCAACCAGCTCACGGTTTTTAGTATGGTTGTAAGATTGGCGTCATGCTGAGTTTAATGTTGTATGATTCACCGCAATTGAGCTATACCAACTTAAACTTAAGCTAGATCTTCTTTACCCGGCTAGAAAGTATTCCACTTTACTCCATTTGCTCAGTACTGTTATTCTGCTACATATTCCGTGTTGATTTTGCGAGTTTACTTTCCTTCGAATTATGTGTTGGTCGTTTGACATCCCTGTTGTGGCTGCGTTTGATGTGAGTGTTGTCAAAGTGCCTACCTGTTTAACACGCTCCACCTCGATTACTGACTACAGGAGATTGAATGGTTACTGGGGGGGGTGCATAGTCCTTTTGGCCGTGCTATACTCAAAGAGCAGTTCCATCCTGTGTGGAGCGGACTCCCGCTCAACCACCGCCTTGCGCACATGTGGTACGCATAATTCTCTACATAGTTAGATAGGAATGCTGCTGCTGTGTAGGTTGAAGGAGTGTGGGCCGGCTCCGTTGATGAAACGTGGCTCCCATGCCTCCCTGTCTTATTCCTTCGGGTTTGCACTGGATATGTGGTGTGTGGATGTAGCTGTGAGTGATGCAGCGCAAACCACCCATGGTCCCTCTGTAGACGCAGGCGTCCTGTGTTTGTCCCCGTAGAGGCAACAGTGACAGGCAAACCCGGAACCGGATACCACCAACAAAGGTCGGCGTAGCTGAGTAAGCAGAGTATGAAGAGTAGAAGAAAAGGGTAGTTCAATCTCAGTTTATATTTCTATTATAATCCGCACTTATTGTTGTACCCGTGAGGTAGGCTTACTTGAGTAGAGCATTTTGCGCTTCTAATCGGCACACCCTTTACATAGCACCTTTTCATCACAACTTCATTGCAACATTGTTCTTATGTATTTTACTATCAGGCAGTTTGAAATTGCTCTTTTAAACAGTGGTTGCGATTCGCATGCTCTTATTTCAACTGGTTGGCGTTTCCAGATTTCAATGTATCTGTTTGGGTAGAAGTTTCTTCGAGCATTAGTCTTTGTTTTGAACACCGAGAGTGTACTTGACATTCATAATTGCGTATCTACCCACTTTCTTGCAGTACCTCTTGTTGCATATACACGCTTATGGACCAAGTCAAATAGGAATGTTTATCCTAGTTTCATGCGTCTTAACCACAGTGGCTCCAGTTATAGCACCGCTAGGAGTAATTTAGTTTGAACAAGGGGTCCGAGAGAGTCTTGGTGAATGAGCGCTGTCCCCTTTCTAAACACATGGGTCGCGTTTCCTGTTGCTTGCAAGAATACTCGAACAGTACTCTAGCACAGGTCGAACGCAGACCTTAAACAAGTGCAGCTTAGATTCACAGATCACGAATCATTCTAAGAAGAGTTTTGCACTTCCTGATATGGCCATTATGAATTCAACTTGCTCACCAAGATTCAGGGTGCTAGAGTACCGGATGCATAGATCACGTATGGTATTATTACAGGGGATGGTTTTTCCACTAAGGTAAAGTGCACTTGGCGAAAGTCCGCACTTGCATATCAACACATGGCATTTGTCCGCTGAGAAAGACCTTTGCCGATCGGTGCACCACGCTTGCAAGACCAGTAGGTCTATGCGAATGTTGTCAAGACTATCACCCAGGACTCTTTGAACTCATGACTTCTCCATCGGTTCCAAGGATATTCCGCGATTTTTCTATCTTCTGCAAACACATATCTTATCACGAACTTTGTTTCCATTATATCACTGATAAACATTAAGAAGAACAAGGACCAAACACACTACCCAGAATCACATTACTTTTGATCATCAGGGGCGAGGATTTATTATGCCCTATTCATACACATTACATACGACCTGTGGGGTGATTCTCCTTTTCGGCCTTCCCTCTGTTCTTTTTCCCGGGTTTCCCAAAGGCTGTATGCATTTCCGGCGAAATCCATCGGTTTGCTATTGTCCAGTAAAATCAGATTTTTTGGTATGAGATTTCACTGTGTTCTCTGAGTATAACGGCCTCATTTGATTGGCATGACATCCATTATGAATAATTTAGGCCAGCCAAACGCCGCACAAAATTGATGCGTTCAAGCAAATGTCAAGAAACAAACGATGGCGTGACGAAAGTAGGCGACTAAAAGTCGTTGCAAAAATATGTGTCCATTGAGCATCCACCTAACATGCTCTCCCTTGATGACCACTTTGTGATCTTGGCGCCAGCATTAACGGACATTAGACCTATTTCACTCCAACATCGCTTACTTTAGTCAATGTGTCTGCACACAGATCGGCAGCATATGGCTGTGGGAATTTTGCAAAGTGTGTTCAATACCTTTACTCTTGGCTTAACTCTTGGCCATGTTGTGAGTTGCTTTAGTGGAAATTCGCCAACTCTACCTACATACATACGGTCAAAGGTGCGATGTCCAACGGACAGAGCTCATGAATAATTCGGAGTTGTATTCATCTTTTCATATAGGTCAGCAGTATCCGACTGAACTATTCCGACCACAGTTTATAATGTTCCATATTGAACACACTTCCCAAACTCAACGGGCATCACCTGGACAATTGCCAGTCTTTATACATCCAAATCAGCAAAATTCGTTTCGCTACAATATAAAATATTTCTTCACTCGTATCGGATGTTTCCAGCTTGTACATCTAGAAAAGTGGAATAGGATGGTTTGAGTGGCATTTTACTATTTATAGAACCAGCTCGAATGCCCTTAATCTTTGCAACCGCATTATCTCATTTGCTTTTGTTCTTTCTTTTTGATCTGTGTGTGCCTGCTCGTTCGTCTTCTCATGCGTCGTTAGAGCAACATACGCACACGGTACGAGAAACCCCATAAGAACAGCGGAGGGAAAACAATTTCGGCTAAAAACTTTAGAGCAGCCGGGTTTGTTGACCAAATGGTGGCGCACCACCCTTTGGCAAATCAGTATGTAGGTTGGAGTTTAAATTAATTCTCGTGTAATTTGGGAAATAAAATTAGGGTTACCGCGCCAGTCCTCCGCTGCTCAGCTCGTATTGATGCGACATTACTGATCGTTTGTCCTCATTTTCGGTTCCTTTTTTCTAAGTGCTGTGCAACTTCCTACTTTTGACCTTTAATTCCATGTTTATCCCATATATAACATTTTTACTTTAATCTGGACCTTTTCCAACTAATCTGGACGTTTGCTAAATCAAACTGCGCACATTGCATTCAAAGCAGAAAATCAGTAATTAGTTAATAAGTAATGATGAATAAGGCAACTGGACGTCGTTCAGATCACGTTATGGTTTTGTTAGTGCAGCTAGGTTGTGTCAACATAGCGTACGCGCGCAAGCGCGTCAAAAATCAGCATTGAATGCGTAGTTTACCTATTACATTTGTTTTGACTCTTCTCAATGTGTTTCCCTTTATGAAACAGTCGGTGATTCATGTAATTTTCTTTTTGCCAAATTCTATCTCCTGACCTTCAAGTCAAGTACCTGTGGATCCTGGTGCTGCTCTGCGCAAAAATTTACGTTTTGAATTTGAAAAGACGGTGTTCCAGCAGAACGACGGTGGATAATTTCATTGACCTGATTTTTAGGAACGTTGCTGACAGCTTAGCCATCGCCAACTTCAAAAACAGTTTTGCTGACGACATACTACGCGATTGAGGAACATATCAATCGTCTTTGCTGAACTTCTTTCACCTTATCTCTGCTCCAGTTTGCAGTCCGCGCATATTCTTTGTTCAACTTCACGCGTGCAACCACATCACTCCCGAGCTGTTCGGGAATAATTTTAGTCCCATCACAAATTCAACTTTTTTCAATTTCAAATTGGACAGGAACAAAAGGAAACTCCCATAGTCGTTCCATCCTGTATGTGTCGTTGATCCGCGTTAGAATCCGGTGGCGGGATCGGTCAGTTGTTGGAACCGAAGCAGCACGTAAAATCAGATCATGATCAACCAGTCTAAACCCACTTGCCCTGCTCTAGCGGTGTCCGCTGCGCCGGCCACGTGAAAATAAAAAAGAAAAAGCATTGTAGACTAGATATAAAGCGGAAGGGTACGACAGAGGACAATGAATAGGAAGTTAGTTAGAATGAATAAAAAGGAAGATAGCTGGAGAGCACACAGAAACTAAATTAAGAGGCGAATGGGGAAGATTCGGAGCTGTAAGTTGAGGACGTCGAGGCTATGTTTAAACTCTGTCACCGTGGATGACAAACTATGTCCTCAGGTAGCGCGTCCAAAGAATCTGTCACTCGGTGTGACAAACGAGTGTCAACCCGAACCCAAGCAGCTCTGAGTTTGTGCAATTTCATCGGATGCTCGCGGAGAGTAGGTAACTGTGTAGGATGAAAAAGCCAAGAAAGGTTTGGACCTATCCGCCCTGTCAGTATACGATAAGTGAGAATCAGATTGCCACGAAGACCCGTGGACCATTTTGGTTCCGATTCTCTGCTCTACAGCCATCCTGTCATGAGTCAGGCAAGGAGGACATGTGTGGACGCAATACTCCAGGTGCGGTCTAACAAAGACCTCAAACAATTTAACAAACATTTCTTCCGTTAGGATACCAAATGTTCTACGCATCATCCAGAGGGTTCGAAAACCCCTGCAAGACGCTTTCTACCAGTTCTCGCTGGATTTAAATTCCTGAGACAAAGTGATCCCTAAATCAATTTGTTTGGATTCGTGAGGGATTTCATTGTCCCCAAGCATGTAGTGCGTTGTCGGACCATTTGATCCTATGCGCAAAACTGAACACTTGATGTAGTTTATTGGCATCTGCCACAGAACGGACCAATCAAGCAGTCTGTCAAGAGTCTGTTGCAGAACTTGGGCGCCATTGCCGTGCACCAAAACTTCATGTCGTCGGCGAAAATGAGGGTAGGCAGCCCCAGCACTTCTGGCAGTTCATTTACGTACATAGCAAATAGCAGTGGACCAAGAACTGATCCCTGCGGGACACCGCTCAGAACTGCCTGTCGGAAAGAAAGACTGTAGCCCACCCGAACACACATCTCTCGCCCTCCGAGAAATGTAGATAGCCGTCGAAGCGCGTGCCCGGAAACTCCGTACGAACGGAGCTTAATGGAAAGACGACTATGTGGGACAGAGTCAAATGCTTTGAAGAAGTCAATGAATAGCATATCCACTGATTGACCCTGGTCGATAGACGCCGCCCAACTTTCCCGAGTAACCATCAAGTTGGTCAGGCAGGAGTACCCTCTGCGAAAACCATGTTGAGATGCGCTGAGAAGGCAAAACATCTTTAAATGGTTTTCGAGGACATCCCTCACCAGCTTTTCTAGCAGCTTAACCAGCACACAGGTTAGACCGACAGGTCTGTAGTTTACTGGAAGATGCTTATCTCCCTTTTTAAAGATGGGGCAAACTACGACTTCCTTCCAGTCGGTGGGCAAGGTGCAACTGGAACGAGACTTCTTAAACTGGTAATCTATTGGACCACAAATTTCATTCGCCAGTTCATATAACGATTTTGAACGAATGGCATCAACACCAGCGGCTTTGGTAGGGTTCAGTTCTCGCAGCAGTGAACGCACCTGGGCCTCTGACACGGTGATACCGGTCAGCAAAGTGTCTGTCGGAACTTTCTCCTCTAAATTAATAGTTAGTAGAAGAGACTCAAAAGTAAACGTTTACGCATACTGCTCTCTGAGAAGGCAGCTGTTATCGTACTCAGTATACACAGCCCATCAGGTCCGTGCAACAACGGGATGGATGGATGCGCACGGCATCGTCTTCTGACGTAAGCGAAAAATCGCCTCGGATTGCTTGAAGCTGTGTTTGCTAGTTCCAGTTTGTAACGAAGTTTGGCATCCCTTAAGTGCTGCTTTCACTTGTTCCGTGCCGATCGAAAACACCGGAAGGCATCATCTGACAGTGTCGAATGGTAACACCTGACCCGCCTGTTTAGCAGTTGACGTGCGGTTAGATCGAACCAGGGTGGTTTGGAGTTTGCTTTCCTTCCAATTGAAAGCGGAATGTGGGGAAGGGACACCTCAGAGAGAAATGCCTTGAATTTCTTCCATGCCGTCTTCATATCATCTGCGGCCAAGATGGTGCAGGGTGAGAAGGCAGCTCTGGATCGCATTGCCTGAAAATCAACACGCCAGATGTTTGGGCGTCTAGTCACGCATTTCTCTTGGACTCTATTGACAGCGCACTCGAAGGAAATGCAGGCTTGGTCACTAGCTCCAATCGGCTGACGGTAAACTACGCTACTTACGAAATCAACTGTTTTTGCGAAAATAAGATCAAGAATAGGTGGCGACTATCCCTCCATCAACCTGGTTGCCTGATCTACAAACTGATGTAAGGAGGTTTGGAGCACCAGCTCCATGAGCTCTGCAGCTAAGCCTGTAGCCGCCGTCCCGCAGGAGAGTTTGCGCCAATCTATCTTTGGAAACTGAAACTCCCCCATCACCAAGCATCGGTTTGTAGAGTGAGCGCGAATAAAATCAACGCAACTTGTAGAAACACTATCAGGACTTCCATACACTAATACTATCTTAAATTGCGAAGACTGGGTACCCACTTCAACCGAAAGGGCTTCTACAGTCCTATCCTTTGCGTGGAATTTAAGTGTCTTGGAGGCAACTTAACTCGAGTTTAGATAGCATGCAACTCCACTACAACGATGGTCGCAGGGGCGATCCGACCTCAGTAGTGCGTAGCCAGGTAGGAATATTTCACTGTCCATGACTTCCGCAGACAGCCATGTTTCAGTGAAAGCGAGGACATCTGGGTGACGATGGTCTACAAGGGCGCCAACTTCGCACAACTTGTTACGCAGGCTGCGCACGTTGCTGAGTACTACATTAACGGTTTTGGTAAGGTTAGTCCAGGATCGTGCGCCACCAGAATGGCCTCTGGCATAGCAGCAATGGACCACCGGCGCACCATCCGAAAACCCATCAACCACAGATCTCTTTTCCCCGCCGCACGACGTACCTTAAGGTCTTGGATGTCTGCTTTTAGTTTCTCCCTGTCCGCTAGTGCAAGATCCGGTTGTATGCTGATTCCAGAACCTTCTAATTTAAATGCCAACCGCATAAGTGCTTGTCGCTCCTCTGGTGTGGAAAGGATCGCTCGCAGTAACCGAGACCTTGGGGTGGAACTACTGACCAGTACGCCTCCGAACTTGCTTAGCTTACGCAAAGTCACTCTAGGGAATCCAGGAGGTAAGGGTTTAGTAACGAGACTTTTAAACCATTCGCGATCATGTGACATACTTTATTTTGGAGATGCGGCAGGGGACTCAATGACATTTCTGCAGCTTACGCTATTACCGGCGTACATGTCTCCCCAACGTGGGGTGTTTACACTGTCTTTTACAGAACTACTGTACTACCTATCCCCTACCGGTTTAAAATCATTGGTTGCGTCGAATGGAACTTGTGGAGCTAGCGGAACGACGATGGGATACTGTTCCGACGGCTTTGTACTCGGGGGACTTGCCATACACGTTGCGGCCCCATTCGCTTCTACCTTAGGTGAGCTTACTGCCTACTCCGTCTTCCTTTGTTTCCTTTTGACGGCATATGAGCCTAAACTCTTTCTTGTTAGTTCCTGAGTTGAAGACCGTCTGACGGGTCACTATTAATAGTAGGCGTGCTCACCAGAGTCGGTAAGATTGTCAAGCTGCTCGAGTCTGAGGAGTCGCACAAACCCTCGATATTCCCCAGGCCAGGCACTCATGCCTTTTTAAGGCTAGCTATAATCCCCGTCACTTTCCGCTTCAGGTCAGAGACCAATGAAAACAGGTTTTCCATGCCTTCTAACCTGGAAACAAGTGCCGAAAACCTTGCATCTAAAAGCGAACCACATTGAGTTCTGTGCTTGCAACAAGTAGGACAACTAAAAGCGCTCTCACATTATACTGCTCTGTACTCAAACCAGTGCATTTTTCGTGAAACCAACGACAGCAGAGGTCCCACTGCACTCCACCAGTGGAGTTGGTCACTGGCTCTAAGCATCTCAATTTGCCGCATCGTATCTCCGAGTCAGATGGTTGTAGACTGAGGCACGCGCTAGGACAGATTCCTTTAGCACTCACACGAGGAAATGTAGGCAAGAGGTTAAGGGAAATTAAAATGTAGACCGGTTTGCAGAAGCCGACTACGCAAAAAGCGAAGAACTCAATCGGATCTTACCAGACATGCTTCGTTCGTACAGATTTAGACTCACCAAAGAAACTGGTTGGAATCCACCCGGTAAATCACTGGGTTCAGATTCAGTTATCAGGTTCCAGTCACTCGCCATTCTTTGTGACCTTGTCAGTCAGTGCGCCTGCTAACCCGTCACACGGACTGCGCGACCACGCCGACCGCTCATTTGACCTTGCAACCACCACGCTCGCCTGACCGATGTGCCTTGCTCTCAAAGCTGGAAAAGTACAGAACGCTAACCAACCCACTGGGTCAGGTAACGATACCGCGTTAAATGGCAGAAATGCGAATCCGAAAAGGCTCCAAGCCAAAGGCATTTGCGGGTTAGGAGGACGTCATCGAGTAGTTACAATCTGTCTCGGTTGCTCGCACTGTTTGGAA